TGTTAGAAGACGAGGACTGTACATCAACCAATCATCATCCCACCATCAACCTACCATCGACCCACCATCAACCTACAATCAGCCTGACATCAACCTACCATCAACCTGACATCAATCCCACATCAACCCGAAACTATAGGGATCTCATGTTAGAGTAAAAAAGACAGACAAATAGTCACATCATTTTATTACATTGCAGATCACAAGTTTACATTCAACGTTTACAGAGTTTTAAGATATCTTTGGCAATGGACACACACCAAATCAAAGTCTCCGATAGTATTATTGTAAATAATAGTCTTCTTTGTTTCTCTCTTTTTCATTCCTCTTTATGTATTGTTTCAGGTCTTCAATCTGTTTCTCTCTTATCTGTAAAAGTACACGCAGTTGCTTCAATTCCACTTCACATTTATGCCAGACTTGAAACAACTCTCTTTCCTCCGTCATGTTCAGAAGTTTGTGATCACTCGTAGATCGTAACGTTGATTAAATAGAGAAGCTATTGCCGGACATGTTCAATTCCCATAGGACTTAATCTTCTTTGTTGCATACGTGTCCTAGTAAGAAATAGCTTTTTCAAAAACAGCGTCATATACTTGTTTGTTCCATTCAAACAAGAACGAGTTTAACGTTTCAAAGTTCAGATCGTGATTGGAGATGTCTTCTACAATAAGGTCATGCATAAACTCTTGATACCCTGGAACCTTGGAAGTGTGTATCTCTTGTAGTAGTTGGTCCATCTCATTGTTACTATGGTCCATCGGGAATGAAGGCTTGTTGCTTCACACAAATACCATTTTTCATACGCTATCAAGCGTTTTATTAAATTCACAGGAGCTGTAACAAAATGATACTTGTAGTTTATCAACCTATTACATAAATAATGTTTAGTTTAATAATGTTCCCATCGTTTCCTGTTCCGTAACCTGGCAACCATGGGTGTGCTCGCCTTCCGTTTATTAGACGATTTGCGTGCTGAATCAGGCGGAGTATCCAACAACAAAGGGAGTGCCTTTCCTCAGGTGAAATAGAAGGCATCGTTTCTATTCGGCGAGGAATTTTCGATTCCACTGTAGTCACAGGTGTCGCGGGTAGTTTTCTTGGCATTTTTGTAGACTTTGATTGAGGTGTATTGAGGTCTCTTTTCCTGGACGCCTCTGCAGGTGTACTTTCATCTGTTTTGCCGGATGTCTCTGTAGCAGGCAAAGGATCTGGTTTGGGAAGGACCACAGTCGGTTTTATCGCCGACTCCATTTTCATTTGTTTTGTCAGTCCTTGATACCGCTGTAGAAGTTGATCCAACATGAGCAATTTTTGGTCTTCTGGTAAAGGAGACTCTATGATTTGCTTCATGTCTTGATCTAATCTCGTCAGCGTTGGAAGTTGAACAGGAGCAGTTAAACGCCGTTCTGTCTTCATGCTCTGTAATAAATGTTCCGGCATAATCACCATCTTTTGAGCGTGCTTCATTTGAACACTTTACCCAGTAAATCAACAGCAAGGGGTGCAATCAGAGCAGCAAGGGCTGGTAAAAATCCTCCTTTTTGATTGAGCACTTCCTTCTTCTGTTTAAGGCTCGGTTTCTTGCGGGTCAAATAGAGGAGTATTGACTTGTGCGGTTTCAATCGTTTCAGGGCCACTTCCCCAATAGCTTCCATCTGCCCTCTATTAGCATGGGCTATCATATCTTTTCGTTGCTTTCCATTGCTTTTAAAACACGCACAAAGAAACGGTAGGTGTTGTTGGAATTTGGATTGTTTGGCAATACTTGACCGCTTTCGTTTTGTCCCTCTGGTCTGAGTCGTAGTGCCAGAACGTAAGACCATATTGCCGCCGCGTTGATTAACAACTCTTGACTTCACTGTGCCACCTGACTTACACGAAGGCATGGTGCCAACTGGCGTCGACAGTTAGAGGCCCGTCTGTTTTATGGGTTTTCTTGTTGACGTAGACCACAGGCTAAGATTGTGAGACAGGCAGTATGTTGCTACGTAATCGTAGGATAGCCGGTGTTCGCGGATGTAAATCCAACATGAGATAACCATACGGCTGCGAGGTGGCATCTTGAAAACTTTCCCATACGTAAGGAACGTGCGCTGCAAAAGCTTGTTGAGCCAAGGTTCGGAAACCCAATGTATCACGAGGATTATTAAAGGCAATGATTTAATGAGCATTGAGAGAAATACTTCTTGAAAATTTTCCCGGTGGGAAAAGGTTCTGTGTCAAGTAGATGCAGGTGACATCACAATGATGAGACACTTTTGTGAACAGGTCCAGAATACGTTCGTCCTCGCTACAATTCCTCATTAAATCATCCAACACGAGTATACCTGGACGACAACCCATTGGAAATAAAGCCGGAATAACTTCAGGAATACCCTCTACAAACGTAATCTGTGACTCCATGTCCTGAAAGCATTCTTGCCACTGCCCATAACAGTACACAATTTTACGAATAGGTCTTTCAAACAAAACGTCGGCATACTGAAGTAATAGTTTTGTGAACGTCGTCTTTCCACATTGACTCGGCCCTGCGATCATTACACTGCTCAGGTATTTGAACTGAGCTATGCTGCCCACACAGAACGAAAAGCCAACTGATGCCAAAGTTACTGGTGCCTTTCTCTTTATAGGGGTGTATCTCAAGTCCAATACAAAATAAACACATCATGTTCATTTTAAACAACACTTTATTGATTCCTTACGCCAACATTTGAATGACTTACAAGTTTGCTCACTCNTTCCACTGTGTATCGTGCGACCTAAATTTAGCTTGAATAGCGTCCATATCAACATTGCGTGCTCGATGAAATAAATAAAATAAACAGTAGTCTCCACAAGTGTCTGAAGTAAGTCCCTGGAACGGTTTGTTGTTGTAACGCGTAACATCTCGCTCTATGTATCCATCTATGCCATAGGTATCGGGCGGAAACCTGTAACTGTCAAAGAATTCACTTTCCCACGGAGAAATAAAGTACACGGCCACCCAATGTGTCCTGGGCTGATCATGAGGGTCCATATTTGCGATCAGTCCCGAAGGATACTTGTTAACGATAGGTAACTTGTCTCTTGGGAAGACACCTTGCATAACGGGAGCTAAAAATGGGGTCTTGTAGTGCCGCTTGCCATAGCTCAAAGGTGGTATGCATCGTTTTGTCTTTAAGCACCTTGTGACAGGTCGTACACCACACGTCTGTTACGATCAATTTCCACCTGATTCTGGAATTCTGCGTACACAATTAAATTGAGAACTGCAGGGGTCTCAGTGCCAAATTTTAAATACAAGTTGACATTTCCGCTGCGATTAGGAATCAAATGATTCCGATGGCCACTTCCTGCTGGTGTTGTGTCCAAGCGAAATAAACCATAACCCTGCTCCCATTCTTCTCTGTCAATGTCTATACCATGACCACAGTTCATATTACCACTGCCTGAGAAAAGTGTATTGTAGCCATCGATTTTCTTGCCGCCTATCAAGTCGATGCCTGAGTAAGGCATTTCTTCTCCATTGACTGTTAGACGAACAGCATTCAGATCAAACAGTTGGAAGTTGAATGGCTTCCTCCCCAAGTTTCCATTGTAAGCATCGTTTCGCACCATTCCAAATATGATGCATTGGGGGATGAGACCATTGAATAGATCGGTCTCTGTGTGATTTAATACTCCTCTAGGAATGATCCTAGCATGCGTAGGGGTTCGTGTTAGTGTATAGATTGCAGGAAGTGCCTTCTGACCCGTCATGGTGTTTACGTGATCCAATTTAGTGCTGTCTGCCACATGAACAGTACGTACACGGAGCGTACTTGACACTATTTGTAACTTGCAATCGATGGCATCTTCACCACCCATCAGACTAAATTCAGTGTGGTTAAGATCTATCTTGATTTTGATTTCCAATCCATCCAACAGTAACTTGTCAAGGTTGAATACATCACACAGGGGTACACCAACCATTCCAACTTCAGCATCTCCAGTGGTAAAAGAACCTCTCTTTTTTAGACCCAAATTTCGATCTGCTGTATTATCCACCTCATCCATATGCCCAGCAGTGTCTTTGTAGTACAACGCTTTTGTCAAGTAAGATTTCTTGGCCTGATCAGTAAAGTTAAGCAAGGTCTTGATATAAGCATTGTAGGCTTGTGTGTCTGATTGTTCTGTGACAAGGGTTTCATTGATCTTGATAGTGAACTGTTTGATGATAGAATGAAGAGCGTTGTTGATCAACGTATATTTCTTCCCAGCTCCTGTCTCTCCTCCCTTTCGTTTAGTAATTTTCACCACCAGACGAAGTTTAGTTTTGTTAATGTCGATGTAATCGGACAGAGGTTTGATCACAAATTCTATGGGATTGGTGCCACTCTGAATTGGTTCATAGTCCACCCATTTACTTTTGACAATAGAAACATCGGTGACCGGCGCTTCGAATGACTGCAAACTGGAGTTAACTCCTGGAGCAGAGAAGGGATGTGCTGAAGCCATACTCAGTCAAAAATAGTCTTGAACGTTGCTGACGATGTTCTCGCTTTCTTGACTTGTCTTGTACTGACAGAATTCGCCTTTCGTTTGAGTTTATATACTTTTCCACGCCCTTGTTGTTGCGTCATGTCCCGAAAGGCCTCAGTGAAAAATTGTTTTCCGGCAGCTTTTGCTCTCGTTTTCGTTGCTTTCTTCAGTGATTGCCCATTCATAACATCTTGAGCAATTTGAACTCCTGTGCCTAATCCAGTGGACAGTAACCGTTTTCCCACTTTCTTTGCAGCGGTCTTGAGAAGAGGTGTTGCTGTTCGAAAGAGAGAACAAAACATTCCTCCCAATCCATTTCCACCTTGACCATACGGGTGTGTTCCTTCATAGATACTAATATCTCCTTTACCTCGTTGCGCAATAGGAAACACATAGCGCTGATAAGGATAAAATTGGTGGTTCATTGGTAGAAGCATCTTACAGAATTGTCCTTCGTCGAAAGTGTAATGTTATTCTGACAGCACCAGACGCAAATGATATCAGTCGACCTGTGTCGCTTCTTATATTCATTTCCACCGTGGAGAAAATAAATGTTCGCAATCGATGATAGGTAGGACGTTTGATTTCGTCTGCTACCGTTTTACCCGGCTGACCGCGAGGTAATATCATACGCAGCAGATTGGCTTGTACATCGTCTACCACTCAGGACTCTATTAGGTCAGAGTAGACGTACATGGTTTGAAACGAATGCTTGCTTAACATTCCCCATACCAATTCGTCGTTTCGTCGTATCGTGTTGGTGGTAGCTGTAAGGGTCACACTCTGGTTCTTATTTAGTTGAACAGATGTAGGACTACTGGTGTGATAAAGGGCTGGTACGAGATCTCGATGGTTCAAATACCCTAAAGCTCGAGCCAGGTTCTTGGGTAACATCACTTGAAATCCTGTGGGTAAGTACAATTCATAGTAATATTAGACTTTCTCATGAATGTAGAAACATTCTTTGCCTCCAAGACGTTTGATCTTCTTTCCACTCTTGATATAAATGTCTCGAAAGGCACTTTCTAATCCTGTCACCATACCACTGATCAAATCCTCGACTGTTCTGTATGTGTCTCGGGGTAAATATATCGGTAAGGTCCATTCCTTTTCACCATTGTAACGTAAAAGATAGGACACCTGATTGCTGTGTATATTTTCC